TTCTTGTTGATACATCGTCTTCACATTTCAATAGTGTGATTTAAATTCCCATCATGACCCAATGTATACAATACGACAGATTTAAAACAACACCTACGGTGGAACAAACATGGTTTGGCACTTTGTATTATCAGCCGGATCTACATACATTTATTCATTCACAGTTTTAACATTTAACACCTTACAAATAACTTCTGTGGCAAATAATATACAGTAGGGGAATCCATTTGAAATTTCGTTTTATTATGTTTATATATCTTCAGAAATCTTTTTGACCTGCATTCAGATGTACTTGAAACTAAAAGAAGTGCTGCAAAGCAACTTATAAATGATGCGCATGAATTAATTAAAATTAAATCTGTATCTATTGATATAGATTAAGTACTGCATTTTTATTTATCTTATTTTTGTCATGATAACAAAACGATATTAAAAGATAAGAGAACATGCGTAGCTATTTATGATGCTTAAGGGGGGAAATACCTTTAGAACCTCAAAGTGTAACTCAATTTATTTTAGTTTTGTAATCTTCAAATGTATATTATAAACGAAATTAATCAACTTTTTTAAAATTATTCTTTCAAATCCACCTCAAAAGAACGTTAAAAGTTTACTCCCATTAATGGACAAGCGGTGTGAGAATAAATTAAATTGAACTGCAAGCAGCAGTATACGGAGTGGTAGTATCTACCTCCAAAATTTTGTAAAATTGTTTTAAATAAAATGAGTTTATTCCTTATTATATTTTTTAAATGCTATCAATCGATTTGTTTTCTTAATGGAAGTCCGATTGAATATCGCCTTTCTTGATGAATTTTAACTTACATTGACTTTCAATAGTATTATATGTTTTATAAATTCACAAATAATTTTAAAATGTTTTATTTTTATCACAAAGATTTCAGTAATTCATTGACACAAACTTTATAATAACAGGTTAATAGTTAAAGAAGTTTAAGGTTTTTGAGGCGATACTACACAATGTTGTATATAATAATGTCTCCTATATTAAAACGATAAATTCCTTCTGTAGAATTATTAGATGTAGGGAATAGTTCTGTACTTACATATTTTAGCAAAATTAGACTATAACTAAAAGGGAATTAAAATGAACACAATGATCTTTCATACATTTCCATTCTTTAGTGAATGTGTATACACATTCCAGTGTTAAATATTTAGTGCCTTTCATATGACAAATTCATCGATATATTTTCGGGTACTATGAATTATGTTAAAATGTGTATCAGCGAAGTAATGTTGAAAAAGAAATTTATAGTGCAAGCTTAAATGTATTAAATATATACATTTTACACGGGATAAAAATAGTGTACGAATATTGTTCGTAGAATATCGTAAAAGTATTAAAATATTTAATTGTACAAGAATATTTTGAAATCTCAGGAGGATTTAATTATAAAATATTGCAGTTAATCTATTGTATTAACCCATACTCACGTGATTTGACCTATAAATACTACGTTAGAGTTGTATTATTAATATAAATAAAAGAAAATGAGTAATAATAAAAACATGTCACGAAGCATTAAATACAAAGGAGAATAGAAATTCTGCAATGGATAGCAGACACAGAAAGTGTAAAATACGTTGAGCAAAAACGAAGAGGAAGTAGTGTTTTTTAGAATTTAGAAATACTGCAGCCTTAAATTGTGTATTAAATTCAGCTTTTACACGCAGACAAATTGTAAGAAGATGTATCTGAAAAGAAAGAAATTTGTTATTAAACCGTCCTCGAGTACATAAAGACGATCAATTAGAATTTGTATTTGTCCATCTTCAGTGGAAGAAAACATAACGGTAAATATTTTTTACTGATAAGAGAATAAGTCAATTTAATCCTTTCGATTCTCGGAAAGATAAAAAAATTTTGAGTTATTAGCTTCTAGTGAGGATATAGATATTAAAAGTATTGGCTATTTAAAATTAATTAAATAACAAATTCAGTATTATGCTTAACAATTGGTAGTTCTTGATACAGTTGATACATCATTATAATTTGATACAACTTGATACAATTGGTTAGCGTAATTTTGGATTCTAGAATTGTAGGAAATATTGGAGGAAATATAACAAAATGACGTATTAATGTGGACAGCAATAGAATACTATTAATTGTATAAAAATTGCAATTGATATAGAACAGAAATTACGTTATTTAAGTAAATAAATGTACTAAATATGCTCTAATAAATAAACGTTGTAAGCAAATTATAGATCCGTAGTGTATATAATTTAAAAATTATTATAAGGGACGATGTTCAGATTTGGAAGTACAGAACTCTTTCCACTATCTAATCGAAAGATTACGATGTGCAAATGAAGATGATTGTTTAGGAAGACTGATTTGTTAAATTGACGCCTTTGATATTATAGAATTATAAAATTTGAACAGTATCCTAACGTTCTGATGAAGAAATGTGTGTAAAAGGAATAAGATTGTAATAAAAATATTTCTCAATTTATTATTAAGAATTTGATGTAACAAGATTAGAGGCAAAGGTCAGATCAACATAGTATGACTCTAGGTTAGATTAAGAGAATATGACAGTTATTGCATGTGCAATGATTGTTATTCTAAACATAATAGTAATTGATTACAAGAGTATAGGATTGTGCGAAATGAAATATTTAAATACAAAGTAAAATATGAATAAACAATCATTCGTTTATTATGATTTTTTTGTAACTGTTATAAAAAAACATAATTAATCCTGTGTTTTTTTATAATTATTTGGATTTTCAATTAATACCTTTTAAGTAATAAAATATAATGTAATTAGGGGAGTCCCGTTCGTAACAAACAATATAAAATTATTTTTAATAATTTCAAAAAAAGTATATTTTTCTATACAATGGTTTGCAACAAGGATATCTACATAGTTGTCTCACACCCTGTAGAATCGTCACAAAACAGTTTCATAATTATTTGATATTTATGGAGGTAGTACTTTATAATTGTTTCAATTACTACCTTTACATAAAAATTATTGACGTTACTTTTCAGATTGCATCAATCTCTGTATCATAAGTTATGTAAATTGTTTTTAGAAAAATAATAAAAATCAACAATAATAATCAACAGTAAGAATGAAAAATTATATTTTCTGTTGAGACGTAAAATAAGGTGGAGTGTGAGGTGGAGACAAAATCTGTATTTCATAAACAACAACCTTCAAGTATATTCATTTATGAATTATGAATTTGCAAAGCTAAACATATAAACATATAAATATTCGATTACAAGCTTTAAGATACGCTAGAATACCATGTATTCTCTAAGCATATAGATTTTTGACAACGCAATTTATTTAATAACTGAACATAATTTACTCTCTTTCTTAAATTATTACTTCTTTATTTCAAAGTAAGATAATTTACTAAAAACATTTCGCGCACAAGCATGTTTTGCATTATGTTTACATACGTACTAAGGAAATCCAACCATTTTCTGGAACAGGTATCGAAATTAAAAAAACTTTTATGCTGCACTATTCGTTTAGCTGTAATGAATAGCAACAAAACATAATATGATTAGAAGATATCTTCTTCTTTAACATAATTTTTATACATTCCATTAGTGTCGTATTTTTCATCTTGGGTCAAATTACACTCAGTTACTATACTCTTATACATTTGTTGTCTACCCTTTTTTTCCCACTTCGTTTCTGAATATTACACGTTTCATTCAACAAATCGAATTCTCGCCTGTCCAAATGGTAACTGTGCGATACACTTACAGAGATGAACAACAAAAAATGTATTCAACTATTACATTTTACCCGATGATCGAAAAACACAAAAGAAAACTTTGTTTTTGTTAAAAAATTGCGTCGTATTATATATTTCGGAGAATTTTTTCTGTCTTCTACTTCATTTTCTTCTACATCTTCATTTTTCCTAAACGTAACCGACATGAGATGAGTCACAACCTTTGTGATATTCAAACGTTTCTTACTAACGAATTTTGAGTTTTGTCTGAAAAATCGTGTCACCGAAAGTCGGGACTGGAGTCATGAGCATGAGTTTCAATGTTTCGCCAGCGATCCGAATGTTTCTAACACGAAAGAAGCATTAGACGCGAAAAGTTGTTAGAAAGTAACAAAAGAAAATTCCGTATCCTCTAAATACTTATATTTTTATTTAAGACACTTCGTTGAAAATCTCAGGAATTATTTATACTCAGACTGTCTGTTTTTTTGTCCGTGGTGTGTAATATTCAGATGACTATTGTACATAGAAAACTGTTACCTCATTAAGTCCCTCCGCAATGTTTTTCCAAATGTAATTAACACTGAGTATTGTTATCGGCAGAATATGTCAGTTCCTGAAATAACGTTTTATATATCAGCGCCATTCGCTGTTCGACTCGATCATTATTTGGTCATCTAGATTATTATTCTATCGGTGATATTTTTATTCTAAATGTATACTTTTACGGGTGAAAAAGGAATTTACTGTCATTAGGACAAACGCGTGCATCAGATTTTGGAACGTAAGAATTACGAAAGAAACATTCGAATGAAATACTTTTTATAACAGAAACTGTACCATTGTCGTCGTTTTAGTACGAGCCAAATAATGGAGTGATAATGTAGCCACGAAAAATTCTACATCGATTAAATATATACAATAATACAACGTGAATATTGGGGAAATTGGATAATTGTGATCCAATGAAAATTTCTGCAATTTAATAAAACTTTTGATCCTGTTGTGATCATCGTGGAGAAATCATTTCTTGGCGTGAGAGTAGGGAATTGTACAACTATTAATTCCATTACATTCTTTTCGAGTTATTGATGCGACTCCTTGTGAATGCATTTTTCCTAATAAAATACGTTCACATTTGCAGTTTCTGTATTTATGGGCTTTTTAAATGTTTAAAAAGGAAACAGTACAAGGAAGTGAAAATAGCGAGATTGAGTTTTCTATGTAACAAATTCTTTCGTTAAAGGAGGACAAACTTTTTTTTATTTCTGTCGTATTAATTTTCTTTTCAAGTTACATATTATCTATTTAAGTAATACGTGTGACCTCAGAATAATTGATAAGAAAACACACTTTTTTTTTTAGATTTTAATACAACATAATAATTCATTGATAATGATGAAGACTTTCTGCACTATTTTCATATTCCACAGAGGAACGCAGTATGTGACAGATAATGGTCGGAAATGAGAACACAAATCAGAAGCAGCAATGGGGTTGGTGGTTCTAGTTGGTCCCGAACATGAGTTACAATGGATTTGTGTATAAATCTTAATTATTTGACTTTTATTTGGAATGCGTGAGATAGTGAACAAGTTCAAGAAATTCTTAATAAATTTACGTGAACAGGTGACAAGTTAGTTATAAACTAGCATAAAACCAATGAGCTACTCGAGGTTTCAATTATCTTTTAGTTTGAATTAAATGAATTCAGAATAAAATTATAGATTGATTGAATATTATACTAAGAATAACTTTCCAACAATTTCAAGAAAGATTTCACGTCCAAATTCAATGCTAAAATCAAACGGTACTTTGGATTTTAGATTGGCATATGATAGGAAACGCAATTCCGAATAAAACAGTTCAATTATACATATGTTTAACGCTACAAATTAATTATTAAATATTTCATGTGCATTATTTACTCTAAGAAGTATTTACTTAATTAGAAACGATTGTATTACATTTTTATAAATAAAACTCGTGAACAATTTTACCTAAAAACAGTGATTATTCCTAATAAAAGTCGTTGAAATTTTAATTTACCTATACACCTAACAATATTCTTATAGCCTGTTATTAAATAACATTAACTTTAAGATATTCTGAAATTTTTTCTGATGATTTTTCATATTATTACATAACTTGTATTCCATTCATAATTTTCGTTACAAATATCATTTCAAAGAAACGTTTTCGAACGTATATTTGCCAGAACTGTTTTATTCCAATTTTATTTCCTATTAGGCTAGAAGATTCGTTTGGTAGTATTACTTTACCCTTTTCGAGCTTGAAAGTACCATTAATCGTTTTTAAATATGATTTCTATATAGTACACCTTAAAAGTTATGGAAAACGGAACGTCCAGGGCGACTGGTAAAAGAAAAGAAATCAGTGCAGACAAGATGAATACGATTTTTGCACAAATCCATTCTAAAAGTCGCGCATGGAATCGTGTTGATCGTTGCATCACGCATCTTATTGTTAACTCATGGTGACACAGCACGTGTCGAACGCAAAATTTCTTTCTCTCCCCCTCTCTCTCACTCTATCTCTCCCTCTCTTTTTTGTTCGTTCACACTTTGAATTAATCTCTATCTTTCTTTCGGACTCACACTCACATAGCACTTTACTATTACGGATTACGTATTAATCTATACAGCCCTACGATATACGGTTTATTGGCAGTTTATTTACATGCGAGTCGAGCTACGGCGCTAAATTTATTATACGACAGAAATTTCGATGTCAAATAATCTGGGTATACATTACGGAACATTCCGAAAAGTAACGGTACGGTAAAACCAATAAATTGTTTTATGGCACAGTAACGTTTCCCTCTCTACATATCATTTTGGATGGAGAGTGTCGTTGTTGATTATTAGTCAGTCGCTTCTTCAGCGTTTTGTCTTTATGAATTGAGCGAGTGGAAGTAATTGTCAAATGTTACTTCAGCTTAGTATTTCGTAATTTCTATTCACTTGAGTCGAAAATGTGTGACCACTAATCGATTTTAATAATTACAGCGATTTTTATCGTAAAGTATCGTTTTCCTTTTACTATGCCATGATGCGAAGGATTAGTAATTTAGTTTCGAATTCCATTATTAGAAGAGGCAAGGGAAAATAAATAATATGCTTTACTTGACGTTATTAACAATTTCTATGTGAGAAATATAAAATGAAGACTAATATTTTTAGAAAATGTTTATGTGAGTTTATGAGGGACTGCAGTAGAACTCCTGTAAATGTTCATGATAGATCTGAATAAAACAGTTTGGCCTATCTATTGTTAGTGAAAATGAATCGAATTATTATTCTTTACATTGTATGATGGGAGTGACATGTCACAAAATACAGTTAATTAAAATTGCCATAGACGAGGTATAATTTTTAACTTGTACTTTTATGGGTATATTTGATCTTTTAACTGTGTCTGAATGTTGTATTGCTCATTGTTCGCTGGAACTGTAAGTACAGACAATTGACAGAAAGTAACATATTTTCACTGAAAAAAATCAGTTTACTTATTTAAACCCAATATTTGTGCACAAAAAATTCATTGTGGATTAATTGTTTTTATAATCATTTTATAACAAAGTATAAAATTAATTAGATCAATTATAATTATAAACGAGAGAATGTTCTGAAATTCAAGTTCCGACAGATTATTCACTTTTTTATTACTATTTCAACTAAAACACGACTGATTATTATAGCTCACTGGTAATTGTAACGTGGATTTCGGTTTTGTACAATTAAATGGTTCCAATTACGCTTTGCTATGCGTTCATTATTATTACAGAATTAATGATGAAAATTATTCAACCCGAAAATTCTGATTCTATCGAAATAACGTGTGTATTAAAACACACTGAAAAATACAAAGAATAATTTTTGTCGATGAAAAATCATGTTAATGTGATGAAATCGAATCGCCATTAAATTTCTATTAAATTGAAAATGAATTTAATGGAAATGAAGTCCTTTAGAAAACAGATACAATAGAATATTTTTATCCAAGTTTACAGATGTACATAAATGATAGAAATAATAATAACATATATATTTCTTGTGGAACAGTACGATTTTACAACGCCATATTATATAAATGGTGATGTCATTGTTTAAGAGTAGGCATTTATTCCCGTTGAGTCATACTAGGCATTCGTAATATGAACAAAGTATGCTAAACACTCTGTTATTGCCAACAATGCTTGAAATTTGTGGCTATTGATAACGCTTGACGCACTTCTAAAATAGTAACGGGAAATTAGAACACGTCGGACAATTTCAAGACTGGATTATACTTTACATTTATTACATTCATCGTTTATGTAATTTTTGTAACATAATGAAAATGAAATGTTCATACTTTAATTTTAATTAATAATAAAAACGTTCTAATATTTGTAATAAACTATCATACTTGATGCGATGAAGATTTAATAAAATATGATTATATTCTGATTATTTTCAGTCCATTGTGTACAATAACATTCCAGAAATCTGTGACAAATCCTTCTGCCTTATATTGTTATTAGAAATCTGTGGAAATCTTTATATCAATGAATATCATTCATAAATAATATTAAATAATATATTGTTGTTCCAAATACTATTCTAAAATGAATATTTCTTTTATGAATGGAAAAAAAGAATTAATAGAATAGAAGTTCTTTCTACGAGAGAAATTAAGGAAAAGTTGGAACAAGTTTTTGTCTTGTTAGAAGTTTCCAGAAAGGTCTTGAAAATTGTTATGAAAGACGGAAAAAAGGGGCTGTTCAAACTTCCGCAGCCGTGAGAAAGTAATGAGAAATATTAACGTTAAAATAGTATTGAACTTTACACTTTCTAGAGATTTTGAAAGAGTCAGGGTAGGTATAATTAAAGGTATAAAATTTATAACAAAAACACGGTTAGTTACTGCAGTGGAATAAAGTAGCTTTCAATCGTGCAAAACAAGTTTTTCAAAATTGTCTCTACATATATTTTATAAATATTCATGATTTCACAAGGAACAGAAATGCTAAAAAATGTTGATACTATTTATATTCAAATATTTCGGAATACCATCTTTTATAAAGAAGAAAAGGAAGTAATTAGTAAGTAATCGGTAATTGTTTTGTCACAAAGATAATAAGAGGTAAATATATAATATTTTTTGTTTTATCTCAACGATGCAATTTCTGCGATGAATCAATGTCGTATGCGGTAACAAACCTTATAAATAAAACTAAAAACTCCAACATGCAAGAAAGAAATTTACCACTTAATCATCACTTCATTCATCAATCATCATGGGTTGATAAAAACTATGCGAATATTATTTCGTCTTACTTTACCTTCAATAGAAAGAATATTGTAATTTATTTATAAACGTTTCAGAAAAATATGATAATAAATAATGTGTATTACGAAATATTCATGCAGTACGTAAACGTGTAAGAGCATTTCAATTTCAGAATTGGAAATGAGCAGTTCAATCTTTTATTAATTTACTGATGGACATAATATACAGATAATATAAAAAAATGCAGTTCAGTTCCGATACTTTCAAAAACTTCAAATTTTTTATGTAATTTTACTTTTCAAATCTTCAAATTAAAAATTTAATTTTCTGATAGAAAAAATAAATTATTATCTCTAACAACTTAAGACATAGTTGTGACACAAAACCTGTAAATATAACAAATTGTTAAAGATAGGAAGTTTGACAATGCAAACAAATTCTATTTATATTTTAGAAATTTTTCTCTATAAGGAGTTAAAAAGATTTGTTTAATAAATAATTCAAAATAAAAGTTCTTGCCACCTATTGCCACTATACTGAAGAATATATATATATATATATATTAATTTATTCTATTGCATAATATCTATTTGTTCATTAATATTGTTTGTTTTCCGTAACTGTGCATCATCTTTTTTAACTGTCCTCTGTTAGTATGATTATAAAAGAATCCCTCCAATAGCAATGATCAGTACATTTCAAGAAAGTCCTACTGTAGTTGCGATTTTTACTTTTGCCTTATTTGAATTCGTTAGTCTCGTTACACGTATATACATAAGTGTACGGTTAACATGATACTCTCATAATTCAAGTGAAGTTTAGTAATAAGATAACGTTACAAAAACGATATATATTTATAGAGTATAAAATGTGATAGTAGTATGCCATTAATACTACTAGCATGATAGTATAACAATATCATAACAGTACACTACAAATATATGTACCTATTATAGGTTCGTTCAAAATCTGAAAATTTGTATAACACCGCTACGACTGTGTTTATCATTAAATCCTCGATTTCTAATCCCAACAATACTCTCCATGCGCAAATAAACTCCGTAGCTCAACCGCAGTGATGGTAACCATGTTTATTTACAAGAAAGAGTACACGGTCGTGTAATTGAAATATCTTCTGGCGTTAGTTTCATTTATCTTTGTACCCCCATTTTTCTCGTCATCTTCACTGGCAGTGTCTCCTTTGCCTCGACTATGGTGCCCAGCCGTTCCATCGGGCTCCTCTGGTGATGATGGCTGCTTAAGTCGCTGTCGGGTGTCTCGTCCGAGTCCACGTCCATCAAATGATCGTTTACCTGAATTTTCACGACAGCGTCTACCGGGTACTTCGCTTCGTCGATAGAAGACATAGCTCCCCTTTGCGATCTTGGCTTGCTCGACGCTCTGTCGCTCGCTTCGCAACGCGGACAGGCGTGGCCGTTCGACGAACCCTCGTCGCTCTGACATCGGAAGCATATCAGATCACCCTCGTTAGAAAAATCGCAGTGTGCACATTGAAACTCACGACTATTCCCGTGACAGAGCTCACAAATGTCCAGCTCGTCGTCCTGATCCGAGTGTTTGTCCCTGTAGTGTTCTTTGTTGTTGACGTCTTGCTTGTGCTTTTTCGACCAGCCTTGCCGAACCTGGTACTCTTGATCGCAACAGAACGAACTAGGCGAAATACTTTGGCCATTATGACCTTGACCGCGGTGTAACGATTGCGGCGAGGACGCGTGAACCGGGCTTTTGTACGCGCGAGACGTTCCCGGAGTCTGTAGCTGATCGTCGAAACGTTCCTCGACGTATTTAGCGCAATAGGAACCAGGTGTTTGCGGCCTGTAAGTGCAAGTTCGAGACTTCTGATCACACTCACTGCATAGCAATAAATTTGATTTGCTGCCGGGTTGCGAAGCGTATCCGTTGCACGTGCCGATATATTTCTCGTCCTCGTCACTTTCAAAGAAATGCTGACTGAGGCTACCGATCGATTTCGTGTCGCTAGATCTACCAGAGATTCTAGCCCCTTCCGGTTCGTCTTGATCTTCTCCGGTATACCTACAAGGAAATTCGTTCTAGTAAAATTAGTACGATTAAGGAAAATGTTTGTACATTTATCCTTCCATTTATGCAGCACTCTTTTTTGTGCGATGTAAATTTACCCCTTCAAACCTGATTTCAGTAGAAAATTATGTTTAGTTGCCTAACCACAATGAACCGTTATTCGATGCACTATAAATAACAACGTTATTATAGTATACTACTTTTCTGATAGAAATAGGGTTAAAGTAATGTGTATATGAAGGGGTTAAATTACTGTCTACGCTGTGTTGTTTATACACGATATCAATTTTGGCGATTCTCTTTTAGTGACACCGAAAAAATTTACTTTTGTCTTCTGAAATGTTATTATTATCTTTTGGTTAAGCTATGTGATGTAAACATGTATTTAAAAAAATTGTGCCAGTTTTTTCCAATATTTCGTTTTCTTTTGTACTGACACTAAAATTGTATAACTTTAAAAAGAGAACTGAACTTAACAGTCTATTTTTCTAACAGTATCTGTCATTATGATTGATCGATATTTTGACGAAACTACATTTTAATACTTCACGGCCGATATTATGCATAAATACGTGGCTTCCTTCAACCAGCATTTATTGATACTTATCATGTAAACGTCTTTTTTAAGAACATGTTCTTAGACGTTACACAAGAATCTTCTTTACTTCGTTATATAAAAGAGAACATTTTAACCCTCATTTTGAATTCAACCTTTTCAAAAATTAAATTCTTATAAAGAAGTAATTCGAATTGTGTAACTTATAACGATACAAATAATATAAAAGATCCATATAAATATATGCTTTATGTAAATTTGTTTTCGAATTACAGTGTAATTTATATTGAAATAATCTGTTCTATACAGTAACACAGTTAAATATTATTCTATTATTTGCAAGATTTCCAGTTATGGGATTATGATTAAATAAAATGTCAAAATAAACTGTTGCTACAAATCAAAAGAGCTACAGAACTAAATTACATACAGCATAAATTTACTTCTATTCCTTTTCATCATTTATACGTGAAAACCGAATCTATATTTGTAGTACTTTACGTATTGTGTTACGAAATTACTATTACAACTTCAAATGCATACGAGTCTAGTAGAACAACGACTGAATCCATTAAAATGGTAAAGACCTACCTATTGTCGGTGGCATCTGCCAGGTAGTGCCATTTTCGTCCCATTTTCGTTTTGCCGCGCTCTCGCGGCCTTGTTTCTTGTTAAATGCTACTTTCCCGGTTTCTTTCGTTGTCTTCTACGCTCCACGAGCTGCCAGTACGAATTTGCATCTCGATCTCAGCCAATCGATGCTTCACTTCCCTGTGCTGCTGCTTCAGTTTCACGCTCGTTGCTGCGTTTTCAGTTTCCAGGCAAACCAGACGTTTTCGTAAACGCTTGATCTCGGCCAGCAACGTTTCATAAGTGTCTAACAACGGTGCAGCGCCTTCGCTGACTAATTGTGTCATGCTGTTGTAAGTCATTCCTACAAAAAAACCATATAATTTTAATACGAACAGCATTATTGATTCAGTGTATTGTTTGTACAATTATTGCATTCTGTGTGAGAATTATTTAAAGTGCAGGTTTAAATAGAGTTCCTTTATTTATTTAGGATAGGTATATAACCGGTTTACATACTGGTCTTATTGGTGAAAATTAGGGACTGAAATTAGACGAAAGTTTAATTACAGTTTAATTACTGTGTTGATATTAATTTGGGACGATCGGAATATTTAATTATATTAATTTAAAAGACGAAATAGAAATCAAAATGACTAAACATTTATGTTTTAACATCTACGATAACAATAATTGTATAATTATTGATATACTGTAATTTGTGAATTACTTTTCTGTCCATGTTTAACAGTTTGCTGATTCATGTTTTCCCCATGAATGAAATATTATTTTCACTGTTGATTTCAGTGTTATAAAAGATGAATGATTAGACGTAATTAACTTTGTATAATAGAGAAAAATGTTTATTTGTAAAGAAAAAAATTATAGCACGCGAAAAATTTATTTCAAAAGACAGTAAAAAAATATAGAATTGATATTGAACAAGTTGTTAATATAATTTTACTCCATCAGAAAATAAAGTGTTAAATATATTTCTACAGTAAACATAACTACTATCGAACAATACTTTAATGAATTGCATATAAAAATTTTAAACTTTAGACTTAAATAGTTTCAGTTGAATCATTAAGTTATATTATTCTCACACGGTGCCTTCCATATTTAGTGTATTTACAGTTTTGTATAATATAATATTGCAGTAAGCATATAAAGGAAACTATGAGAGGGTCATCTATCAAACGATGGAGGTTTAAAACAAAAAAGATATAATGAGATAGTAAATTCGAAGAGGCAGCAAACAGGATTAATTTTTAAGGTTTTGACTTAAAATGAGTTTTTAAATTTAAAGTTTTGTTTTAGTATGTTACACTGGAACTCCGATCAATAATAATATTATAGTGTAATAACTTCATATGTATACACAGTGTATGTATACACAGTTATCTAAAATGAATAACTAAATAACTGTTATTTCTTCCCAAAATTTGTTTCTCGTGATGATGTTTTTAATAAAATAACGAATTCAAACAACTGCAACAACGAAATTGCTTATTTACTCTAATGCTTTAAATCACATTTTATTGTTACTCTGAGTGATATTATAATAATTGATTAGCTTGATAAACATATCTAAGGTTAGAAAATATTAATATAAATATCGTCTAATTAAATCAATGAAATAATGCGTTGTTGTAGTTGATTTTATGGTAAAAATCTATAATCACAGTAAGTGCCAGTGAATACCTAGATGAAGTTCGACAGAAGGTGGAACAAACATGTAAGGATATATATGTTCTACATGACAGAACGAGACGAAAATTAGGAGTAATAATAAAGTTGCCTTTGATCTATCGGTTTTTAATTATAATCACTTGAAAATTGGGGACAGAACTGCTTATAAACAGGACATTCGACGATCATTGTCATATACAGGGCAATTCAATGGAGTAGCCCATAGTTGTCGTTAAATGAGGACCAGGAACTCACCTCGTTGGAAGTGGAACACCCGTTCACAAAGACGTGAGCATCCTACATTATTACATGCAGGGTGTTATAAAGTTATAATATTGTTACAGGAATGTTATTGGCCAGTAGATCGTAAGAGGAATGTCAAACGAATACTTAGGATGTGTTGATAATGTGTTTTATAGCAAACCCGCATACAATAGAATATTTAATGAATCGATTACCTGCTGCGAGGTTAATGTTGATTCGTCGATTAAATACCTTTGGCCTCAATTATGCCTAGGTAAACTCCTTTGTTCATTTGGGAATGAACTAGAATCAAGGTGCTCACGAAATATTACATCTGTACATTTGTATGCTTTGTAACTTGATAAGTATCGATAAAACTTAATAAAAATAATTAATAATAAAAGAATTGGCCAATTACTTTGAAAGTTATGTTAGTTATTAGTTAAAATAATATAATGATATAAATAATATAAATGCAAGTTAAAATTATGTAGTTATGCAATGAATGTTTCAAATTTTGTTGGTGTTAGAAACAAATTCGAAGTATTAAGTGGTTTATTCAGTGGTAAAATTTGCCATTGTGTTAGACATATTATTTTAATAATCACTTAAGAGACAGCTCTTGGAAAAATTTGTGATACGTATTATTTTATTATTTATTATTCATTTTAAAGATTTTAAAATAATCTTCAAATAGGGGATCGAAATTATATTTTTGTATCCGAGGGTGTAGAAAAAATGTTTGTTTGTCTTGCGTTCTTTCGAATCAGAAATTCAATGTTTTAGAAATTAATTATAAGAAATAATTTTCACGTATTCTAGAAGCTATTGTATACTTTTAGCAATTAATTCTTATTATATATAAGCATTATAAAATTAAATAGTAAGATATAATTAATGTTAAATTATTGGTATTACGCTATAATGGATTTTTTAATTTTCAACCTTAAAAACTATTTTCTCCCGTTTCTAGGCAGTTCTGACCCGAATTGTAAGCAGTTATAATTAAAACAATTAAAGCTGAATGATTATTTTATTATTCTTGATTTTCGTCATACTTTATTATGTAGAATCACATTTTACATTTTTCTCTCACCTGTTACATATCCTATAAATATATGTATTGTGAGCAAAGGAAGTAGATAAATGATAATAAATTACGAAATACACAGTTTGATATGGAACTAGATAATTTAATTTTTAAATTACACTTTTTTTCGAAAGGTCGTTCTTTGGTATTTCTGTTGTAAGGAACTACGTGTATATAAGGAGTATAAGGTACTCATACAGCGAAAGATTTGAATAGTAATTTTATGAAATCAATGTATTTCCTAATTTTTTTAAATAGATAATTTACACGTATAATTCAAAGTTTTTACATAAAACGTTCATTAATATATTAACCAATTTCACTAAAACGTTTCTTAAATTTAAACAAATATATCATCGAAGTTGGAAAATTAAGTACTATAGATGTCCAAGCTTTTTTACATGTATTCAGTACGTTTCAGACAGTAGATACTAATGATGTTTTACTAGGTAATTTTAAAAATGTTTACCTTTTAAATATTTCGAAAAATATTATATTATTTTTTATATTAATATTAAATACTATTGTGAAATAAATATAATTTAAAATAATAGTTTAATAGATATATTGCAGATATGTTCATGCACATATATTTTTATGTGGCTCAATTCTTTAAGCTACTATAATTGTTAGTAGCCGAGAGTAGGGACAAAAGTAACATTTTTAACATTTGACCCAACTGCCAGTTACCTTCCAAAGATATAAGAAAGGAAATTACGCCTTCAGTAATAATGTTTATTGGTTTTTCTTTAAAAAACAAGAAGTATCATATAGTATAAGAAAAAATGAATTAAATTTAAAAGAAATAATAAAATATGACAAATAATTTAATTTTTATAAATATTTTTATAAATTTTAATATTTCATAAATATTATTAACATTCATGAAGACGTAGAAACGGTACGACAAAAGCAGAACATTGACTATTTATATATATTAAAATTTGAGTTAAAATTCTGCGTTTTTCTTCGTTTATTTAACTTTATAACAATTCCTATATTGCCCGATTAATCACTTTTCCATTTTTGTCTTTCCTTTTATTTCTGTGTCCAATAAGAAAAATTTATCATATAACTTATTTACCTTTATTTTATAACCAGTTATTTCACTAGTTACGGTAGAAATAGGTATATACAAAGTGTCGGTACGTTTGGTGTTAATAAATCACGTTTTACGTGTTAAGAATTTCATTCTGTTAAGAAATATTAAGAAATTCATTGACATAAACAAATTACACGAAAACTCTGAAAAGTACATGAAAAAATGAAGTTTCACCAGAGAGTTATGCTGAGTTTGTAGAGTGCACTAGTGCCACTTATATGCATTTTCTTATAAAGCAAGTTATATGGAGAAACTTTTCTGCAAGCAAGCGGTAAGTTCAGCGACTTGAAGTCTCTAAAACTACGAAGAACGTTGGGATATAGATAGCATTCAACCTTCGCGCTGCTTGCGCTGAAAACTGTTAACTGGGATTCCAAAAGGCTCGAACAGAATCCTGCTTTCAGATGTTTGAATAGTTTAGAATCTTCGAACATTAAACCGTTCCGATTTTTCGCCAAGTACTTACGTATCTATTAGGTTGGTGCGTATGAAATATCGGATTTTTAAGTGAATATATAAAACTGCATATATTTTTTCAAAAGCTGTTTATTTAATTAAAATATGCTCTATTTACTTCAATACATTTTCCCAAGGAGATTTTAATGCATAAATGCCCGCCTTAAAGAAATTCTGATCTTTAGAATCAATAAACTCTGATATGGAATTTTTCAGGCTGTCTTCATTTTCATACTGTTTAGCTCGTAAAAACTGTTCTAAATGTTTAAAAAAATGTAAGTCGGTTGGCGAAAGATCCGGTGAATAAGCTGGGTGCTGCAAAATTTCATATTTTAATTCATTTAATTTCGCAATTGTTTTGTACGGCATATGCGGCCAAGCGTTGTCGTGGAGAAGTATTGGGCCATGCCGATTAACAAGTGATGGGCGTATAATTTTCAATTTTTCATGCATTTCATCAATGTACTGGCAGTACTTTTCGGCTGTAATTGTCTCCCCATTCGAAGGAATGAGTAGTGAATTACTCCAGTCATATTCCACCAAACTGTTATTAAAATTTTTCGTGGATGAAATGATGGCTTTGGAGTATGAGCACAAGCCTCATCCCTATCAAGACACCGAGTTCACCTTTTCCTATTGTCATAAAGAACCCATTTTTTATCACAAGTAATAATCCGATCGAATAATGGCACTCGATGAAATGGGGTTAGTAATGATGAGCATACGTTCAATCAATTCAGCTTATTTCACTCGGTCAGTTCGTGCGGTACCCACTTATCTATTTTTTTCATCTAGCCAATTTCAGAAAGGTTTCGCAATATTGTTGTGTGGTCAACTTTCATTCTGAAGTTCCCTTGTAAATACAGTTGGATTCGTTTCCACCAACGTTTTCAGAGCATCATTTTTCACAGACGTTTTAGGTCTTCCACGCGGTTCATTTTGTAGGGAAAAATCACCAGACCGAACATTTTCAAACCAACGCTGCACTTTTCGATCGTTAACAGTGTTCTCCCCAAACGCCTGGTTTATATTGCGTGCAGCTCTTGCAGCATTATTACCAAGTTTATACTTATATAAAAAAATTACACGAATATCGGTTGAATTCATATCGGTATAAAATTCAAAACAAATAACAAAAAGGAACACTTTTGAGATAATTTTCTTTGTTGAAATGTGACTCTGGCAATGGACCGTACGACTATAAACGAGGTTGTGCCAAAAACAAAAGCATGACGAAAACAGAGAGACAAACGTTCACATGTAAATAAAAACCGATATTTTATATGCACCAACCTAATACAATACTCAAAGATTATCAATAAGACCTATTAATACTTATCACCATAGTGTAATTGTATTTTGTGTATTTAAAGAAATTTCGTAGGAAATTCTAAGACTGTCAAATAATTCTTGCCAAAGGTAATATTTTTATTAGTATTTTTTCATGAAGAATATGAGTACCTTAATGAATTCTACGAATTCTGAAAACAAAATGAAAGCACGTTTTGCGTCTTATGGAAGTTGATTAATAAATGCAGTTACAGAGAATTCAAAATCACAACAAATTCGAAGTCCTTAGCTATATGAATACCTTTGCTACCACGCCACGTGAGAATTACTTTAGAAACGGTCGACGTAGATAAAGGTCGTGAAAAAAGTATGCTCGTCTTACGTGGTCCCTTCTTTATCTTATTACTTTGCAATTCTCGTTACAATTTAACAAGCGTGACGTCTTCACAGAAGCTTTTACCCGAGGTATGCGTTCATAGTGAAAGAATAATAAAAAATGTAAAGGTTATAGTAATAAAACTACAATTAGTAAACACTTTAGCAACATGAATTACACTAATGTACTTCATAATAACATATTTTGAAGTATAAACTATAAAAACATTCGTGTTGTCAAGAACCATTAAACAGATGCCTTGGGCTCAAGATTCGAAGTCTTCAGTGAAGACTAAAATTAAATAACTTTCTTATATTACATAGAACAATACTACATATAGAAAGAACAAGTTATATGTATTAAGTCGTGTAATATGAAATGTCGGATTTTTCTTACTCATAAATGTTTGTACTCCCGTTGTTGTTATTCCTTTGTTTTTCATATAATCTCTTTAACAGTTTGATTGTCGACTATCAAAGTAACTTTTTGTAACGAACTTCTTCAAACTGTGCATAATAAGTATTTTATACGTCGTTTTTTGAAAACAGAGATATCGCCAACATTCGTGTAATTTTCCTATATGAATTCAAGCTTAGAAATAATGCTGCAAGAACCGTTGAAAATATAAACAAAGCATTTAGGAACAATACCTTGAATGAAAAAACAAGAATTGATTTGAAAAATTTCGTTTCAGCGATGTTTCTTTGCAAAATAAGCGTGGTAAACACGAAACAGTAGTTTACAACGTTGTCTTTAGAAAGTATTCATTAAAAACTCATTGGTAAACTGTGTATCGAATTAAATAGAGCATATTTTCATTGAATAAACGTCTTTTAGAGCATCAAATAAGCTTTCCTATTCTCCGCAAAATCCATTTTATATTACACGACCTAATAGTTAATATTAATTGTATATAAAATAAAAAGTAATTACCCTATACGATTAAAAGTATAATTAGTTTTCATATACCTATATTAACACTTAGCCAACCGGATGAAGAGATCTCCTACTGTTCCCTCAGTAACGTGTTGCCATTTATTTCCTTTATTCGTTTCTTTCAGTATTTAGTACGTCTTGAACTAGGGATATTCGCAATTCAACAAAAACTCTGTTGCTTTTGTAAAATATAATTTTCAATCAAATCTGTTGAATAAATTCGATTAAAATAAAGGAAAAAGATTATAGGGTAGACCGAGACAAATAGGATTATTTTCTATTTAACATCAGAGAATTAAAAATATTTGATCCTTAATGATGAAAAACGGGAAGGGTGTTTTAATCTTCCTTTAGCAAATAGGGAACAAAAAATGAGAAACATAATTTGGGATGCAACAAAAAAAGACCGGATTCTTCCGTCAATCCGATTCGCCTCGGTCTGCCCCAATTATAGTTTCTTTAGGCGGTTGCTTAAGTGTTAATATCTTGATTCCCAGATTGTAAAGCTATCCAGATAGAAGATCTCAAAAGCAAACGATATTCTTATATCTGATCGAGTACTCAATCATCCCAGATAAGTGAGTAACCATCCCAGATGAAATACTTGCCGGAATAGGTGGATTGTCTGCCGGTAGAAGGCTGTATAGCTCCGGATTGCGGTGCTCTAGCGGTTTGATCTTCGCTGCTGTGGCCGCTGCTTGTCGCACTCATCGGGCTATCCATGCTTCTTGGAACGTTGTTCGCGTTGACATTGTTCCCAGAGACAGGCAAACCGCGCGGTATCACCGGGCTCGGGCTAGGGGAGAATAACGAGTGGCCGGCCGAATACGTATGAGTAGACTTCGTGTCAATTGGCGACACCCACATCTCTTCCAACGGTATACGACCCCGCGATTCCACCAACCCTGGCGTACTCTGACATCTTCCCATTGAAGCTGAAAATTTATTTCATCTGCATACAGTGGCTCGCGAAAATATTCCCGGGTCGTAAAAAAATGTTCCGTACCATAAACTGTAGCAACTCCGTGCAAAAAATTGTACAATCTACTTGGACTCGTTTTAACACTTCGACTGCCGCGTCAGATTCGGGTGACACCATTTTTATATACACTTGAAAATTAATTTTCTTGTCGACATATCGAGCGAACCGAGTTTCATTGGATGTAGGAGATATAAGGAGGACGGTGGAGTAATTGCTAAGAGAAATCTCGACTTTTTAGTTTCTGCTTTATTGAGAAAACTGTTTTACTGTATGGGAGTTTTCGTGAGTGTTTGTTAGGCAGTCGATGTGTTAAAACACCTTCTATTTTCATGTTTCTGGGATCGGCATCTTCGAAGATGGCTTCTATTGTGTAACAATTAGAGGAGTGAGGATACTTTTTCCCTCTAAATTGTAAAAATTTTAATATGGTGTTGGAGATTGAAATCTCTTTTTCACAATCATCTTTCGAGAGTTATGTCATAGAATTCAATTGCCTACCTCGTTCTTTCGGTTTAGATGCTCTAGACTTTTGTATCTGAGTCTATCATAAATCAAATGTTTCTGTCGATAAAATGGAAACGCTAATTGATTTAAATGGTAACATAAGGCATGAAGTCACCGTGACATCGTAACACAAATATTAATAAAAAATCCTTGAAGAATAAACCTATTATTTTGTAGTAATTAAATGTATTTTTATTGTGAATCGGTGGCATTGTAAAAAATAAAAAAAGATCAAGATGAAGTTTTTTCTATTTCAATGTTTATTTCAAAGGACAGTTTGGTAAAATGTTAAGTTGGTGCGCATTTAAAAAAATTTCATCAAGTTTTCATTGACATTTTAATATAGGTACTTGTTACGCTTCTGCGATTACATTATAAATGGTATCATATGTCCTGGTTCTTTTTGATAAATTAAGGTAAAGACAAAATTAACATATAGATAAATAAATAAATAAAAGTAGATAAAGATGAAATTTTTATACAAATAAAAAAATGTACCTACTTGGAAAAAGACCATATGTAGGAAGTTCTGTAAAATTACGTCATCAACGTTGCAAAAATGTTATCGAAGTTTTTCTTCCACAAAAATGCACCGAACACAGTTTCGTGTCTGATACGCGAAATGGTGGTTTCGTAACAATATATTGCGTAAGACAGATGGCTTTCAATGACTAACCATGTGAGCTTTAAGACATAAAATGTGGTGACGTATTGAGGCTTGATGAATGGTTTTGAGAACACCTAAATCCTTTATCGGAATATATTTCATTGGTCCAGAGAACGTGGACACGACATCGTACCGACAACACAAAAAGATTTGTGTAGTTTAAGATAGCATGAAATAACCAATATCCTTAACTCTCTATTGCATGAATTTTTTGGAGTTAAATAAATATATGGATATTATTCTATTTAAATGTTGGCGTGATAATGAAATAAATAAGAAAATATTAATAAGTAACGTTATTTATTGCATTTTATGACTGTACCTATATAGGAACTTCGTATATACAGGTACAAAATTAAAAAACGACTTAATTTCATATTTGAAATTAAGTTACAAATCAAGAATAGAATTCAATAGAGAGTTAAAGAACATCTGTTCAATCTAGGCAATGTATTTTCTGCAATTCAGTCTATTGAAATAAATTCCTTTCATTTGATGTTTCAATAAAAAGTAAATTGGTATATATTTGTTCGGTGAACACATGTACTAATTATTGACTAAATGAAAGTGGTGCAATGGACAAAAGCTAGCATTCGACATGCAAAAGTAAATAAAAAAATATACCTGATTTTATCGAAAACGGAATTTTAAAATTTCCCGGCGAAAATATCACTGGTTTAATTGAGAGTTATTGAAATGCACGCAAACTGTATAGATTTTCAAAATATTTTTCTCAAAAACGAAGTCTCAAATAAAAGAAAAGTCTGTTCTATGTTTCAACATTGATCATTGCTGTGTTGAAATATAAAAATTACTTCAGAATTTTACTTTGATTTCAGGTTAAAAAGAATTGTTTTCAATATATTTATACATTTGACAATAATTCATTTCTCGTTAAGTAAATTTGAGTTGTTTAATTTATGAATATTGAGATAGCTTTTTGACTCTGTCTTTCAATGTACTATGGTATATTAATATTAAATTCATTGTAGGTTTACGTGCAGGTAATAAACCAAATAAAGGAATATTTTGTTTATAAATGTACCTACAATCATTGAAATTTTGTAATGCATTAATATTATATGTAATATGTAATTTATTATTATTTGTAATACACTAATATAATACTTTGTCGTATTGAAAGATTAAAATTTGGATAATTATAATAAAATGTATCACATTATTATGAAAATTTTTCGTCAATTTAAACAATAGGATTATACAACTTTTTAAATAGAAGAAACTGAAATATATTTATGCGGATTATATTCAGAAATAAATACTATCTAATATCTACAAATAATGCATAATATATACAC